GGTTTAGGTTCAAGTTTTAGTTTGAGGCTTCAATCGAGTTAAGTTTAAGATTTTTTTTCTCATTTCGAGCTTTTTCGAGCTGCTCACGAACTTCAGTTCAGGATTTCGAGTTTGAGTCGAACTTGAAAATTAGCTCGCGAGTTTTCGAATCGAGTCGAGTCGAACTCTATTTCAGAGTTTTCGAGTCGAGTCGAGCTAAACAATACTCGAACTCGACTCGGCTTGTTTACACCTCTACCGAGGATGATGGCCACAAACACAGATTTCATGGGGTCCTGCAGCACACATAATGTGACCCCAACGAAAAGTTGATGCGTAGAAGCAGTAAAGGCCTCTCATTTTTACGTGGCTTTCGTTACTAACGACAGATTTCTCATCAGATTTTGGCTCTTCTATCCCTTTCCACTGTCAAACTAAAAATACGCCAACTTTGTTGCAAGGTATGAACAAATGTAATGAATAATGCAAGGTTTTGAGAAAAATGAAGCAATTTATTCAGAATCAACACTGTTCTGGCAACCTTTTAGGAAGGAGCAAGAAAGGGGGAGAGACAGAAATGGGTCCTTCTAGCGATTTAAGGTGTACACATTTACAACAAGAACTCATTTCAGCGTAGAACGTTTTATTTCTCGATTACAAAACCGCATAAATTACTGAAAATTTGATTTGATCTTACACGGAAACCGGGGTAGCCTCATTCAGGGCAATCACACCTGGAAGCTCCTTCCCTTCCAACAATTCTAAACTGGCACCACCACCGGTTGATATGTGGCTCATGACGTTTGCAACTCCGACCTTTTCTACAGCGGCGACGGAGTCTCCACCTCCAATTATTGTTGTCACTCCCTTGCCACTGAGTTCTGCTAGCTTCTTTGCAATAGACTACAAGTAGAGAGCAATCTTAATTCCAATTCACTTATGCAAAAATAGAAAACATAAAATAAAAGCAGTCATCTTGAAAACTTGGCACTCCCCTGGGGACTGAGGGATTCAAAGCTTATTAGTTAAAGGTAGGCAACTTCAAAGCATACATCCTAAATTACAAATTCTATAATGATTAGTAAATGAGATTTAAGATTTTATAAAGGTGACTGGAGAAAGGCTTGCTTTAGCTAGTTTGGCCACGAAAGCAAGTGGCTACCAACTTAAAACTATATCCTACTAGTAGAAGGGATACTTTAATTCTATGTATGCAGCAATATCATCAAGAGCTAAACCCCATAGTCAGGAAATTCAAGCATACCTCGGTCCCGACTGCAAACTTGTCAAATTCAAACACTCCCATCGGTCCATTCCAGATGATGGTTTGGGTAGTATCCAAAGCGTCATTGAATGTCTTAACAGAATCAGGTCCAATATCCAATCCCATCCAGCCATCAGGAATAGCAGAAGCTGGCACAATCTGCAAGAGAATAAAGGCAATATAAGAGCAGTTTATTTCCAATTATAGGCTTATAGCTCCATGTTAGTGTGATTTGGCTTTCTTTAGCACAGATGGCTCTGAGAACTTTACGGGGACAGGGACGGGCAGAAAGTAGAAACAAACCTTGCTGTTTGCATCAGGGGCGAACTTGTCTGCAATAACCACATCAGTAGGTAACAAAAGAGACACTCCCTTCGCCTTTGCCTTTGCAAGGAGTGATGTTGCAAGGTCAAGCTTATCCTCCTCTACCAGGGATGAACCAACTGATAGGCCTTGTGCTTTGTAAAATGTGAAAATCATACCACCACCGAGAAGGAGAATGTCACATTTCTCAAGGAGTGACTCAATGACTCCAATCTTGGAAGAGACCTTTGAACCACCTACAATGGCAGCGAATGGCCTTTTGGGGCTTGAGACTGCACCAACAAGGTAGTCCAGCTCCTGCAACAAGATAGGAAGCAAATGAATACAAGGGGAACCTAAAACATTAAAATGTAACAAGAACTATAATGATAAAATAAATAAAGGAAAACTTCATAGTAGTTTAAATGCAGTGTCAGAATCAAACCAATGATGAATTTACTCAAAAACATGTCTATTTGAATGCAGCAATTGAAAACTAACCAAGTTCGAATGCCATATCCTACCTTCTGTAAAAGGAAACCAGCAACTGATGGCTTCAAGAATTTTGTGACACCCTCTGTTGATGCATGGGCTCTGTGTGCAGTCCCAAATGCATCATTAACAAAGAGATCAGCTAAGGAGGCAAGCTTCTTTGCAAATTCAGGTTCATTCTTCTCCTCCTCTTTGTAAAATCTAACATTTTCAAGAAGAAGAACACCGCCTTCAGGAAGCGAAGCAACTAACTTTTCTACTTCTGGACCAATGCAGTCATCAGCCTTGACAACCTGCTCGGTTAATGAGTGTTATAGTCATATAACACATGAACTACACATCCTATAACTAGAAAAGTTTCAGCTTTCGTTGATTACCTGAATGCCAAGCAGTTCAGAGAGCCGGGGTACAAGTGGAGCCAAGCTGAATTTCGGTGTAACACCCTTTGGCCGACCCTGAAAATTCAATGAACCATTACTTTAATTCTTACATGCACAAAGAAATGGAATATAGCTGAAATGCCAAGCTCTGGTAATGGATTCAATTAGGCATTATTAAATGACACACAACTCGAAAATATAAGAATAAAGAGAAATCAAGTTACCAAGTGGCTAGAGAGAATGACTTTAGCACCATTCTGAACCAAATGCTTGATGGTGGGAACAGCAGCACGAATCCTAGTGTCATCAGTAATGTTCTGGTTATCATCCAACGGGACATTCAAGTCAGCCCTCACAAACACTTTCTTCCCTTTCAAATCAGCCGCACTCAAGTCCCCAACACTCTTCTTCGCCATCGAAACAACCCCTCTCGACCCCTTTCCCTTAAAAGATCGAACTTTGGAGGAGACATGAAGGGAGAACAGAGAATCCCCAGAAGCAGTCGAGGAGAAGCCGAGGCCGTGGGTGAGAGTGGAGGATTTGAGGTGGCGGCGGGAGGAGGGAAGTCGGATGAGGGATGTAGAAGGGCGGGAGGCGGAGGATGCGGATGTGGTGGAGGCGGTGGCTTTGAGGAGGGAAAGGGTAGTGGAAGTGGTGGCAGAAGCCATTGGACACAAAGCGAGGAAGACAGTGGTGGCTGAGTTTAGACAATTGGAGGCGGAGAGTGAGGGAAAATGAGAGAGGGTTGGTATGTAAACGTGGGGTGGGAATGGGACAGATGTGGACGTGGAAGGCAAGGGAGAAATGGTTGGACGTGACCGAGGAGAAATTAGATATGTCTTCGTTTTTCTTATCGTTGAGGAGAGGTCCAAGATGTTCGATGCTTTCTTTACATCTCCCTGCACTCTTTTCCTTTGTCTTCTCATCCAACTCTGATTCTATTAAATAATTTAATTGCTTTTTAAAAATTATATATATAATATTATTTATAGTTAAACAATATATAGAACTATTGATGTAGTATTTTTTAATTTTCTAACGATGATATACATTACTTTATAAGACACGTTAATATACCTCATTAATGTTTTAATAAGTGACCAAAACAAAATTATAACATAACTTTATATATGATGTTTTTAGAAAATATTAGTTAAGTAACTAAAACGGAACCAAAATGATAATTGTAGACTAAATACATAATTTATCTTAAATTATTTCACAAATTTTCCTCCTTACAAATAAATTGAGTTTTATATTTGTCTTGACCTTTTCTTCTTTTCAACTTGAAACCTTTATCTATTACTACATGCTAATCAAATGTGTATCTCTCTTCTTTATTTGTTTTATATAGAGTAGATCGTTTGTTTTCATAGGTACTAACGGAGTTACTTTAGAATTTGAATTTTCTTCTTATAATTATTTATTTTGATATGTATTCCCATATTACGTCAATAGTCAAATATATGTGAAAATATCACGTCAATAAATATACATTAATTGACTAGAGAAATAAGAAGAAGAAAAATCATTAATAAGAGATTTCCATAATAAATAATTGGAGAAATACGTTTGTCCATTGGTTGACCAAGTTGAACCATATACTTTATTAATTAATTTAACTTAGATAAAGATTAATACAATTAAAAAAAAGCTTAAAAAAGCCTTAAAAATCATTCTTCAATGTTTCCAGGCTCAACTCTCCAACAACCAAACCAATACTAGCCGCCATCAAGTCAACTGTAGCTAATTTCAACTAAGAAATATAAGTTTATTAATTTAAACAAAATTTATTAACGGTAAAGTCACATATAAATTTTAAAATATTAGATTTAGGATAAACTACATATTTAGTACCTAAAAATTTACTTTTTCCTCTTTGGTACCCAACGTTATTTTGTTTCAAAATTATGCCTAACGTTTAGTTTAAGTTCTATTTTAGTACCCGATTGATAAAAACTTAATGGTGATGTCGACGTGTCAGCATAAAATAATGTCACTACATAATTGGAAAAAATAAAAATATCACGTCAGTAGTTCTGTTATTTTTAATGACGGATACCAAATTAAAACCTAAATTAAGTATTATGTATGATATTGAAAAAAATAAAATTTAAATATCAAAACTAAACAAAAATAATAATTTAGAAACCAAATATATAGGTTGCCCAAGATTTTATCGCACGTTATAGATAATTAAAAATAATTTATATAAAAGAAAATTTTATAACATTTAATCTAGTTATTAGTTCGTAGGTCACCACTTTAATAAGGACAGACGTAGAATTTTAAATTATGGGTATAAATTTATAAAATTAAATTAAAAATTTAAAAGTGTAAATTACAAAATTTCAAGATACTAAGTTAGATAGTCAATAAAAATAAAAATAATATAAATTATTTTGGGTTGAAATTCCTTATACGAAATATAATTCTAATAAAAGGTTACGTCTTTCCCTGTCTATGTCGTAGACAAGGGCCTAGTTGACACTAAAAAAAAGAAAGTTTGCATGATATATTTCATTTATATATATATATATATATACACACCATGAGGCTTGGTAAATCAAGCAGCAGTTTGTGGGAGTTTTAGTTTGGTTTAATGGCAGCTACGTTTGATTTTGAAGATGGGTTGAAGATGATAGAGGAGCTAACCACCAACTCCGAGCAAACACAAGAGCAAGTATTAGGTCAAATACTAAAGACAAATGCAGGAACACAGTATCTGAGTCCATACCTCAATGGCAAAACTGACAAGGAACTCTTCAAAACGAATGTTCCCATTGTTACTTATGAAGATATTAAGCCTTACATCAATCGGATTGCCAATGGGAATACATCGAATATCCTTTCGACCGAATCCGTCACCGAGTTCCATCGAAGGTCTAAACTTCTTGCCCCTCTGTTTATTTTGACCTTCCCTTTCCATGCTTCCTCCTAAGTGAATCCGGTTTGATTTGCAGCAGCGGCACCTCAGGCGGGCAGCCAAAGTTGATACCTGCCACGGCTGATGTATCTAATCTAAGGACACTATTTTTTACCCTACTGACATCCGTGGCGAAAAAGTAAGAAACTGAGTTTTACATTAGACATACAACACATGTGCTTTGACCTAACAGTATCTTCATTTACAGGCACTTCGGTAACATAGATCAGGAAGGTAAAAGATTGGAATTTATGTTTACCAAACCAGATACGGAAACTCCTTCTGGCCTCAAGGCAAGATCTAGCTCAACAAGCTTTTACAAGGATGATGCCTTTACGAACATTATCTCCAAGCTTTATATAAGCCCTCTTGAGGCCATCTTTTGCTCAGACACCAACCAAAGCATGTATTGTCAATTACTTATCGGTTTAATACGGCGAGATGAGGTCGTAACGCTTGGCTCAGTCTTTGCATCCGTAGTTCTAAGAGCTATCAAGTTCTTAGAAGATTACTGGAAAGAGTTCTGCTCCAACATAAGATCAGGTCAAATTAGTGATTGGATCACCGACTCCGGGTGCAGAAACGCATTGTCTTTGGTCATGAAGCCTGATCCTCAATTGGCTGATTCAATACAGAACATATGCAATTGTAAATCTTGGGAAGGAATAATCAAAAAGCTTTGGCCCAAAGCAAAGTTAATCAGTGCCATTAGTACAGGTGTTATGCTTCAATATGTTGAAACACTCAAGTTCTACGGCGGAGGGCTCCCTTTGGTATCAGGATTTTATGCTTGCTCTGAAGCATTTTGCGGGATCAATTTGGAACCTCTAACTGAACCTTCCCACGTCTCTTTCACCTTTGTTCCCAACATGGCTTACTTTGAATTCCTTCCCATCAACAAAGACAATCCAACAATGTCTCCAGTGGATACAGAACCTGTTGATCTTGTACATGTTAAGCTTGATCATTATTATGAACTACTGGTCACATCCTATGCAGGTAAGATCAATTTTCCTCTCTTTATGTATGCATGTATGTATGTATGTATGTATGTATGACCATATCTATCTTTTTCTTCTCAGGATTGTATCGATATAAAGTTGGAGATGTTCTTAAGGTGACAGGGTTCCATAATAGTACACCACAATTCAAATTCGTAGAAAGACAAAATGTTATTCTAAGCGTTGATACAGATAAAACAAGCGAGGAAGACCTACTAAAGGCAGTGACAGATGCAAAGATTCTTCTTGATCCACTCGGATTCATGTTGAAAGGTTACACTAGCTACGCTGATACAAGTTTGATTCCTGGTCACTATGTCTTTTTTTGGGAGCTCAAGGAAAAAGAAGGCAACGATGGGCAAGTGCTTGATCCTAAAATAATGGGAGACTGTTGCTATAGGATGGAAGAGTCATTGGGATATATATACAGAAGCAATAGGAAGCAAAATGCAATAGCAGCTTTGGAGATAAGGGTGGTAAAACAAGGAAGTTTTGATGCACTAATGGATTACTATGTGTCCCGAGGAGCTTCTATGACCCAATACAAGTCACCTTCTTGCATTATCTCCCAAGAAGCCTTTAACATCTTAGACTCCAAAGTGATGGCAAAGTTTTTCAGCCCAAAAATCCCTATGTAATCACTTGTAATTTCCTCTTATGCCTGCCTTTGTATGACGGACTTGAAGTGGCGGAAGGGCTTTATCAATGTTTGAGCGTCTAATCTATTGAACTGCAATATATTCATAACCTATCCGTCAAAGTTAGCCTATTAAGCCTTTAATCGTTTGAACACTCCTAATTCTTCAGGTATTAGACTTTATAAAAGGTGATGTTATTTTAGAAAGAATATAAAGAATTTGATATATGATTTAAAATTGTTAATGAAAACCATTGGGATTTAGTCATAACTTTTGTGAAATACTTTTAATTCTCAACGAGCTTGGAAGATTCTTTAGTATCTCACAGGTTTACTAGAGAGAACCCATTTGCTGGTATACCTTTTGGGTTATATTTATAGCACCATAAGGCCTAAATTCGATAAGCAACTTTGACCACTTTATGAATGTCATATTCGAGTAATTCAATTTTTTTAAAATAATATAAACCAAAATCACGTATTAAAACAATTGTACAAAATTCAAAGTTCTTTTAATTTAAAAAAAAATATTTACAAAATTTATAAATTGACTCAACATCAAAAATAACTCTTACATTTTTACCGAAATAGTAACTTTTGTAATTGAGATTTTCAGTAAGATTTTTCCGGTAATGTTGTCCCATCACGCTCTAAAAACAGGGAAGTTTCGATGCACTGATGGACAGGGATGTGCAAATATGAGTAACCCGACTTTCGGATACCCGATTACCGGGTACCCGAAACATCAGGATCGGTGATTTCTCGACCCGTGTCTTGATCCGGATATTTCGAATACCCAGTAATTGGGTACCCGAATTTTATGGGTATCCTTATGTCGGGTACTCGGACACCCGGATTTTTTTTCAAATTATTAAATAAAAACACACACATAAATCTGAGTTAGGTTGTTTAGCAGTAGCAATCTGTTAGCAATAGCAATTTTTAACTTGTTTAGCAGTAGCAATTTATAAGAAGTGGATACAATATGGACAGCACATCTTTGTATTCAATTTCACAGCAGTAGCATTTTTTTAAGTTATGGATGCAACTAAATTTGAAGTTCAAATTGTCAAACAAAAATAATTTGTTACATTTTAAATAGTTTCAAATTCCTTCACTAAAACGTTGCATCCTATCAAATATGAAATACCTAAACAAAGAGTTTTGAAAACCCATTTTCATTTCAGTGTTCTTCTTGTTGTTCTTCCCCTATTATCTCAAGAAATGAAAGTGTTTCTTAATCATTTTATGGCGAGAAAAGAAAAGTAACAGTTCTTAGAGGGTCGGGGAAATGAGTTGGATAAACCCACGAAATACACAGTGAAACTAGAACAAAAACAAGCTTAGAAACTTCTTAATCTCTAGCACTTTGAATCTCTTATTTCAGCTTATGACAAGTTAAATTTAACTTCCAAATCTATCTAATCCTTCTTTTTCAATAATTCACTTAAAAACTCATTTTACTTAATCTCTCATAACTTCTTCATCTTTGAGTTTTAAACCATTTAAAACTTCCCTTAAGCTTTCTTATAACTCTAAGAATCAAAAGAAACCTTAAAAATTAAAGAAACAATCCAGTTGAATCCAACTTACCTTACCACTGAAGCCACAAGAGGAAGAAGATAGCCAAGCCTCCAGAATTTTTATTTCTTTTTCCCCTAACTCCATGTGTTATCTCCAATATAAAGGAAAAATAAAAAATATTTCTTATGAAATAACCATTATACCATTACTTCATTAAATATTTACTGAAGAATCCTTCACAAAAATATTTCCAATTTAGTCCCTTTGATACTATTTTTAAATACAAGTTTTAGTTTTATTTTATTAATCGCAATTTTAATTTTAAAAACAAGTTATGTTATTTTGCTTCACCTGTGTGTTACAAACGTAATAATTAAGGTAAAAGAGATTATTTTGTGAGATTAGTTATCAAATATGCGTATTCTTTATGATTTGAAAATGTTCACCTATCCATGTAAAATATATGTATCCTTTATTATTTAAAAATATTTACCTAACCTTATAAAATATATGTATTATTTATGATTTAAAAATATTCACCTAACCTTTTAGGTATATCTGTGAGGAAATTATCTTTATCAATTACTTAATATTTATTTACTTGTTTAAAAAAAATTATCAACTTTTATTTTCTTCGATTATTTCTCAATTATCACTTCACATTAAAGGTGAAAAAACTTAAGCTGAATTAAAAGGGTAAATTAAATATATACAATGTGTTTGGTAGGAAGTGTCAAAGTCATCTTGCTTTGGTTTCAAAAATGTTTGAGTTTTTGAAGAATTTGTTAAGATTAGAATTATTAGTTGGTTTTGGTTATGTTTGATCGGATTACATTCAAATTTAGTATACGTCAATATCGGGATCATAGTTTAATTCGAGAGTTGATTACACATGAAAAAATCTAAAACACTGAGGTAATATTCAAAATAATTTTCAATCCAATTTAATAAGTAGCTTTTCCTAGGAACTAATTTTCTCAACATTCTATATGATAGAACATTTTTCACTATATTATCTAAATCAATTTTGTCATCAATAAATTGAGTAAATGGTTAAGTTAATGATTTAAATAGTGGTCGAAAATTGAAATAGAAATTGTTATATAATGAAAATGGTGTCTTGAGAAATTGTTATTGTCGAAAATAGCAATGTAAAACATAATCACATCAATAATGGTGGATCATGGCCATAATTTAATGTGTAATGTGTAATGGTTAGGTGCAGTAATATTGGGCTGTTATTCATGTTACTATTCCGTTACATTAAATTAAAAAAAAATATTATTTTCTCCTTTTCTTGGTGTATTTGGTAGGATTGAAGGGATTGAAAAAATCATTTTCTCATATAGTATAAATGTTACAATGCCAAATCATCTGACGACTTCTAGAAAATATCCGAATTATTTAAGGATTTTTAAAAAATGCAAACAAAAATAAAATCAGACGACCTCTCTCCAAACGATCTCTAAAAGATGTCATTTTCTTAAGTGATCCGAGCGTTTTTCAAAAATCCGTAGGTTGACGTTTTATTTTAAAAGGGTAAACTACATCATATATGACTAAATTTTTTAGTACTGATTCATTTATTTTAATAGTAACGTTAATTTTAAGTGTAATTATGTTACTCCCTTGTTAATGATCAAACGGGATGATGACATGGTAGCTATGCGCCATGACACTGCTGACGTGACTACCTCACCAAAACAACATCGTTTTGACATAACTATTTTAGTGATTGTAAAGTCCAAAACAACGTCGTTTTGTTAATTGAATAAAATACTTTTCAAGAGATTTGAACCAGATCTATTGGACCTAATAAAAAGCAATCAAACACCAAGTTAACTTAATAACTTATTATTATTTTAACAAAATTAATATATATGTTAAAAACAATTTGAATTAGTATAATTTATTTAATATTATTTTATAATATATATGATTTATAATAATAATAATGTTTTTTCAAAAAAACCCCTAAATTTTTTGAAATTATAGATTCCCCCGAAACCTAAGCCTTAAGTACCAAATCCTTAATTTCATCCATTGTTGTCGCCGAATCAACGACCACCGCCCACCACTTCCGTCGTCAAAACCTTAACACCAATCACCCCACTCTGTTATCTTTGGAAATTGGTGAATGGTCTGTTAATCGTCTGTTAAACGTCAAAATGTGAAATATTCTAATCGAACCCTAAAAGGCGACTGATCGACGAGCAAATGGTTAATGACGTGCATGGCGAGAGGAGGAGGCTTAAGTGTGATGGCAACATCTTGCTATTGACGATGATAGTGAGTGAATTTAGTGATTGTGATTCAGAGTTTAGGTTTTTTTAGATTTTTAGGAATTTAGGTTTTTTTCGGATTTTTTGGGAATTTTAAAAAAAATTCTCAAACAAAACTTTTCCATTTTGGGTTTTTATAACCAAACACAATCACGCCAAAACAATGTCAGCAGCATCATTTAAACTACGATTTAAATCATTTCATATCGTGACTTAAGAGAATTGATCAGATTATCTAATGTTTCATTTAAACTACGAAACTAGAATCCATAATAATTCCAACAATAAATTGAACATTAATTTAATTGATTTTACCATCCGGTTTTGTTAAGCAACAATGCAGTTACTTTCAAACGATTTAGTTATAAAAAAATAAATCGAATAAATTTTTTTGGATGACAAAATTAAAAACCTAAAAGTAATCTTCTGTTCACAACAGATCATAATTTTGTTTTGGTACCATATTAATCACAACGAGTAATTTCTATTAAACGACGAAAATTTAGTAAAACTAAAACCCAAAACAGAAATTCACAATCAACATCAGTTTGTTGAGCTTGGACCAGATGAATCGATCCAAATGAGCTTGGGCAAGACCTCTCGACCAAGTAAAATATGGCCCAGAATAACCCAAAACTCTCAAACCATAGTTAAGGATTAAATTGTGGAATGCGCGAATCGAAATAGTAGAGGGAGCACATCACTTTCTGTCAGAAGCAGTGATTGTAGCGTTAATGTCCCCGAAGATGATCCAAGGCAATCGCATAAAAGAAGCTATATTTCTCAAATGAGGCCATAAAATCTTACGACTCGATCCTGAAGGGCTAGCATATACGGTAGTAGCATAAAAAGAATTTTCACTCTGCTTGGAGGTGATATGGCAATGGATAAATTGTGTGTGATTAAAATAACCTCCACCGAAATCGTATCATACCAACCTAACCAAATACTACCGGAAAACCCCATGGCCTCAATGCGATGGGAATTCAAAAATACAAGAGATGCAATAACTGAATCTGCTTTATGGCCACTGATATGAGGTTCCACAAATAAAACCAAATCCGGATGATAATCACACAAGAATTGTTTGGCAGCGGGAATAAATCTAAAGTGCCTACAGCCCTAAACATTCCAAGACAAAAATTTTAGATTCATAAGATAAACAGACAAATGAAATCGAGGTTATCGTGCTTATTCAAGCATTGCCACGGCATGATTACTGTCAA